ATTGAAGATTTTTAAATAAGAAAAAAACTATATAGAGAGTCCCCGCTTTTGTAAAAAACGCATGCACAACGAATTTGTACATAATTATGATTTTATCGTGTTTTTTAGTCAATTTTTAGTCATATAAGGCACAACCACATATCAGTGAAGGATCTTTTTCATACCAGCACCTACTACAACACGATACCTATAGATTTTTGCAATCTTTTTTCCAAATGAGCCTTCTCTCTTCGCCCCACAGTGGGTTTCGATTTTGCGAATAAAGAGTAATCACCTAATTCCGGAATTCCAGAGCGACTGGTTGAGTGTGTGTTGTTCAGCATCGCAAAGGCGGGTTTTTTATACAAATGTTATATACAATGAAGCGCATTGAAGTGGTTAAATTTTCCATTTGGACGAAACGTACTGGGTCATGTTTTGAACGTCAATTATAACATAACGACACGCCCATTTCCTTAGAAAAGAGAAAGTAATATTCGCCGTAATGTTTTAGGACACTACACTTCCCGCGACAAGCAACACGAGTTACATTGAAATTAAGAGTTTTAAATAAGAAAAAGCTATGTATAGCGTTCCCGCTTCAGTAAAATACGCATTGCAACGAATTTGTCCATAATTATGATTTTATCATGTTTATTGGAGTTAGCATAGCAAATGTATCGATCGAGCACGTTCTTACTCGGTGTTTATGTAAACCGTCAATTTCATTGGATGTTATATACTGAAAGAAAAAAGAAACGCAGGGTAGCATAATATTCGAAAACTTTTTGACAGTAGACCGAAAATTACGAAAATTGGTCAGATGATAAATTTAGTTACTTTGCACCAAAATGAGTGTTAAGAATTACTCAACCGTAAAATTTATGACGTCATGTAGGGAAAACTGTTAAAAGCCGAAAACGCGTGCAATTTGATAACGACGAGTTTGTCAACAAATCTTGTTGCACCATTTGATGCACCTGAGGTATACACATTGTTTTTCAATAATTACAGACGATATGAATTTCTTGCAATCTTGGTACAGTTTTCGGAAGTTCGGTGGGGTCTGATTTTCGAATTGCCTAATTAATGAAAAAGGCAAAAACGGGTAACTAAGCAGTTTCTTGTAAAATTTCCCCCATAAAACTTGTCACCCGTTGTCAGAGAGGGCCTCGAATGGTATTCAATCAACCGTGACGATGTCATTAACGCGAAACAGAGTCATGTTCATAGCGGGTTATTCGTCCTGCCACCTCTCAAATCGCAACCCTTCTACCACAAAACCGTTTTTATACAGTAGACTATTATAGTCATGACATCCACACAAAAAATAAAAGAAAACAATTCTGCAATTTGGTTTTTTGAGCGTGTCAACTTACTGTTGTAATCCTCTCACTCGCGCATGCGCGCGTTGCATGACTAATTTTTTGGCGTGGTTACCGATGCCCAATATAGCCAGGGTTTAAAAGATAATCACTCTGGTGAATTCCATGCAAAGGAGAAATAACTCTCATGACAGATGTACAGGAGACATTGAAGATAATGAGTGTTTTCGATTTTCACTTTTGGGGGGTATCGTCATATGAGCTTCAATAACTTAAGAATTATTGGACAAAATCAAATGAAATTTTGGTTATATCTTTTTGAAAGATGATTTTAAAAGTAAGATAGGAATACTGAAAAAAATTGAAAGGAAAATATATTTGATTCACCTCAAAAGTTTACCCTGCGTTTCTTTTTCCTTTCAGTATATTTATGAAATACCTGCTTTACAGGTATTCGATTGACCGAGTTTTCCTTTCTAAAGAAATGGGCGTGTCTAAAGATAGCTCAAAACCTTCCATTCAAACAGAAAATTTTACCATTTCAATGCGCTTCATTGTAATTATAAGCCATTGAAGATTAGTTGTTTCTTTGCCTTAATCCCTTCGAGATTTGCTTGGACGACATTTAACCATTTCCCCATTGCTCCAAAATTAGACGTATTCAGCACTTTTTTGCCATTAAGCAGTAGGGGATCTTCTGCGACACTGGACATAAGTTTTCATGTCCCCTTTAAAAGGCCGTTTTCAACGTTTCTCATTGGGATTTGAACCTGCGATTTAAAATAAGCCACTTATTTAACTCCAAAGCAAAATGCTCCAGAACCACTGCAAATCTCATGGCCCTCAAAAAAGCACATTGATCATCTATGAGCTCTGAAGGCTGATGGAAGGTTTGAAAAAATATACTCGTATGTCTGGTCTTTGCGTATTGAGAATCTTGTCTATTTTATTCAACTTATATAAATGTAATGGCGTGAGATATTTCACAAGTTCAACTAAATAACTTATGAATTAATCATGAATTTTGCTTTTAAACGGCATCTTTTATTATGTACTAAGATACTTAGCATTTTGTTCACAAATCGCTGTCTTATTTATAAAGGTAATTTTCCATTATATTTTCCATGGTACGAGCCATCTGAGTGCATTGTCAACGACTTGTACTTTTTTGGACAAGGCCTCATAATATTCCTGCTATCATAATTTATATACGAGGGGTTATCAAAAATACGTGAATAAGCAATAAAAAAGCCTTTACATGTGCTCAAAAGCTGAACTAAGTCTAGTTTATAAAGATCGGGATCGTAATGTGAAATAATAAAATCAGAACGACAACTCGGTCAAGTAGAACCGACGGCGACGCGGCGACTGACTTTGAAGATTTGGAATTGAGTAATATGTTGACGGTGCGACCGTTAGAGCGAGCGCCAACTCTTCTATTGTTTTGATTTAGATCGGGCTCGTCAAACCGCACGTGACATTTGGTGCGTCTAGACTCTGACGTCACATGACGTATGTAAGTCGCAATATACCGAGAAAAAGCTTGAACAGTGCAGAAAGTTAATGAAGAACGTTTTGATCTCTATTTTTCTTCAATATATATCCATTAAATCTAGGCGAGTAAACTTTTTGTTGAACATTTGCCGTGATTCTCACGAGAACGTAGCTAAAACAAGTGATGCATTGTGGGTCGAAATTACGGCATCAAAAAATTCTATCGAATGAATGTGCAGTAGTCCGAATTTTCTCTTCGCACAGGCGTTGCTTTAAGAGCTCGCTATGCGAGCGGCGCTTCGCGCCGCCTCGCTGCGCTCGCTATTAAAGTCACTGTTGAAAGTATGTATAAGCCTACAAATCATTGTTGAAAGCAATAATTTAGGGTTAAAGGTATTGGGTTGGTAATGGTATGGTAATCAAAGTAAATTATTTTTTTTCATTTGTTTACGATAACTTATAAACAAGGAAGTGATTTTGTAAACTGGACAACGCCACAGTTAAGGAACCCTATCTACACTGTACACTAAAGAGTTCTGATTCTATTGAACAACGCCACAGTTTACAGTCTAGTCGAACCGTCAAACGGGAGTAAACGGATGTTGGAATCCGTACCTTCAAACGGGGGTACGGCGCATGCGCAGAAACTCAAAAAGTGCCGTTTTCACGGAAAAAACGTGTGGTCCACAAAATGTGCTCGTGCAAAGTGATGGATTATTTCGTAGCTCTGTATGTACTCAAAGAACTTAGTTCATCAAGTATCAAATGCGGCCCTGTGATTTTTGAAAAAATAAACTTTCCTGCAGAAAATTAGTAATCCCCAAAATTAACCACTCTCCATGTGTATTCGTCAAATCTGCACTTGATTTTTGCCGGGGAAACCTCGCGTGCGTAATATAAATGTTAAAACCTGGCATGGTACCTCAAATTTACCTGATTTTAAGGAAATGTTGTACTTCGTTGTCAAAATTTACATGGGTGCCACGCTTCGCCCAAAATACTCTCTGCATAAAAATAAATAAAAGAAAGTATCCAAACATTGTGACTAATTTTAATTTTGGGCGAGATGTGGCGCCATACTTTAATTTTTAATTTTAGAAAACCGCTGTATTCCGGATTCAACAATAATCGGTTTAATTTTGAGTGAAAGCGGAATAAATATCTATAAGGCCAGGTAAAATTAATCTTTAGATTCTCATCCTAATTTGCTAAAAATTTGGGGCGGGTGGGCGGATTTTATTTTTTATAATTGTTAAGTTGTAAGTATCAACAAAACATGGACTCTTCGTACACATATTTTCATTATGTAAATGCCAATATGAATAGATTTTTTTTTTTTCATATTCTTTTACATATTTAAAGAAAATTCTTGCTTAAATTATTAGATATTTATTGTTAATTAACAAATTATCAAGTACACATATACGGCACATGCAAAACAAAATGAGGTGGGGTTCTGATACCAATAAATTTTGTATGCATGACTTCTCATCGGCCTTTCCCTAAATATACCCTTGAGTTTTACCTTCAAATCCCTCTGTTTTCTGTAAAATATCATAGATTTCCACCTTCCTCAGAAATTGGATCGTTCTAGAGACTTGACATGTTCAACAATAAAATAGGTCATATTTACAAAATCTATAAAATATTAATTCTAATAAATTATCCTACCGAAAAAACCTAGGCCTGAACAGTTTTAAGATTGAACATTTTCTTAGCACTAAACATTCTCTAAAGTCTGCCTACGATGTTTTATTTTTTTTCAAATCAAAATCACACACAGTTGGAGATCGTAAAAACTTGATCAGGTGTCATTTTCCATGTCTATTTTTATACTTAGTTTTAAAAAATCTTTTAAAAATTTGCTCATGCCAGTGATGGTATCTAGATGTGTTTATGCTATTATTTTTTCTCTGCTTTCTCTATACTGACAAATAATATTTTCCTTACATATTTAAACTGCTTTTATTGCCGATTTTTCTCCATTCTTCACATGGCTCTTTTGCTATAAATAGCGACACGCAACTTTTAAAACAGACGGGAGATAACTCTAAAACTTCACCCAAATTCTTACTGAATAAAAATACATGAAAATGACTTTATTAACACTCAAAAATCAAAATAAAAAACGCCGGGGCGGGAGACTTTGAGAGGGGCGGGCGGGGATGAGAATCTAAAGATTAATTTTATCTGGCCTAACACAACGAAGAAATCATTAAAAATATTAATTAATAGGAATATGTTGTGTCTGCAGCTGGATATTATCTTCGAGAAGCAATTTAAAGAAACGTTTTAAGATTTGGGAAAATCCGAGTTCTAAAAATAGACCGCAATTCTAGAAGATGCAGCTTGCAGGTCGAGGAAAGCAATCATTCAATATGTTCAATAGGCCTAGATCAACGGTGACCTGCAATTAATAGAACATATGCCTGATATCAGCTTGATGGACAATGCCTTTACCGAAACTAAAAGAAAGCCCAGATTTATAAGGTAAGTTGTATTTTCCACGTAATAATGTGAATACTGATCCACTGTAACTAGGTTGTCGTCTGCAGGCGATTCCTTGCAGAAAAAAAATTAATTCAGAACCAATTACAAATAAAGGAGGTTAGATAAGGTCACCACCTTTATTTTGCTGACTGCTAGCCTAATCAAGATTATTATACAGTGGAAAGTTGAGCAGTTTACTGTCTTAGTGTCTATAGATCGTTTGTTTACTTTTGAGGTAATTCGGACGGCTTTGAAAATATTAGCTATGGGATAATGCGAGCATTTCATTGCCACAGTGAGCGAGTCTTTTCACTAGTATTACAAATCTAAATAAATAAGGGAACATAAAACTAGAAGTAATTTTATTGTAGATCATGTGCAGACAGAGAGGAATTGTATGCATGTAAAATATAGTTCTCTAATCAAAATGCAGGCCGGGAACACCTAAATAGTTTTTGCCAATATATAAAATAGTATAGATGTGGCACTCAAAACTGTCTGATGCTTTTTTCTGGTCAGGGAATTTTTGATTTTTTTTGTGCCCCAACCCAACTGAAATTGCCTGTTACTGCCTGTATGTGATATCCATAATTATGATAATGCAGTTAAATTTTTTTGGATCAAATGTAAGTGTAAAAATTTATGTCAAAACAATTAGTCCATAAATCATGTAAATATAGTGCCATGTGACATGTCTTCTAACTTATTATTTTAAAACAAAATACATACTACTTTTACTGTGCATGCAGTTATCATATTACTGATTTTAACTATTTACATGTACTATACACGTAGTTATCATTATTATTACTTTTTTTTCCAACCTTACCTATACTATAGCAAATATTAATTGGAAACCTGGTTGCCCCCCCCCCCCCCCCCAGTTATGGTGATGTACCGAAAATGAAGGATTAGAATTGGTACTGGATTAGAATTGGTACTGAAAGTTGTTGACACTGAGAAAAAGCAACCCCCCCCCCCCCCCCAAGAAATAGGATTTTCGACTTTAGGCAACTTTTTTTTTTTTTTTTGCTTGTCAACTTTTTCAGGTAAGAAAAAAAATCCAGGTGGCCCGCCCCCACTTTCAAAAACGATGCTACGCCACTGTATTTTTATGTTCCTTTTTCCTCTTATATTGCAGGGTCTTATGATATAATGCCTGGACAGAAGGTAGACTACTTTGAATGCATTTTATGCTCAAAAAGAACAAAACCAACTGACAGAAGAACAGTCAATAAAGATATAAAGAAGTATCTTCGACGCAAGTTCCTGATTGAGGCTCCTGAAAACTCTGTAATATGCAACAAATGTCGTCATGTTTACAGAAATGAAACTGGGAAAACAAATGTGTACGCCCCTGTTCGCTGTGCATCAACAACAACTTCTGATGACTCTAGCAGTAAGAAAAAGACTTTGTCTAGCCCACCATCTGTCTCTCTGGCTTTGGCTTCTACAGCAAAATCCCATGCTTATTGTTGTGTCTGCAAAAAACCTGGTCCAAAATTAGTGGTGGTTCCAACTGAAAGCCGCACAAATGTTTTTGTTGATAAGAATATTCTTATTCCCCCAGGGAACAGGTGCTGTCCTGTGCATTTAGATAATGATAGTGGAATGTTCACAAGTGATGCTGTCCAACAACTTAAAACTACTGAAAATGCCTTCTTAAATAGAACCACCATTTCAGAACTATTGCAGCAAATGCGCATTTTATGTCAACGAAATGAAAAAACAGTTTTTGGACTTTGACGATCCAAAACATTTGACAGACACAGACTACAAGTCATTATTAGGAATCAGCAAGGAAAGTTTTCAAGAACTTTGTGACTCTGTTTTTGTGAAGAATACACCAGCAAGAAGCTTGACTACCTCTGTGGCAATCTTTTTTTGTAAAATGAAAACTGGACTTTCAAATCTGATACTATCAACTTTATTCCGCACATCCAAATCCAGCCTAAGGAGAGCCATTCATGCAGTCAGAAAAGCCTTGTTGACTACATTTGTTCCAGACAATCTTGGTTTTGGTCACATCACAAGAGATGAAATTATCAATAACCACACCAGACCTCTTGCTCAAACTTTATTTTGCAGTGTAGAAAAAAGTCAAGTCATCTTAGTATTGGATGGAACTTACATCTATGTGAACAAAAGTAATAATTTTCATTTCCAGCGAAGATCATTCAGTATGCACAAAGGAAGACCCCTCATTAAGCCAATGGTGGTCGTTACAACAACGGGATATTTTGTCTCCATCTTGGGCCCTTATTTAGCGGATAGAAAGAACAATGATTCATCCATTCTTACACACATCATCAAGAGTAACGCTGAAAGTATTCGCTCCTGGCTTAATGAGGATGACATCTTCACTGTTGATAGAGGCTTCAGAGACGCTCTTCCTTTGCTAGCAGATTTGTTGATCCAGGCGGAGATGCCTAGGTTTCTAGAGGCAGGTCAGAAGCAGTTGTCGACCAAAGATGACGAGTCGACTAGTGACCAAGGTAACAGTGGGAATTATATTTTAAGATTTTTAAATGCATGTTCATATATAAGTACAGATCTAAAAATTTGCAGACATTCTTACACTAATAAATTGTCTACTACATTTTAAAACAGCTTAAATTACGAGTACATGTACAGTTATATATACACTGTACCTCTTTCTGAAAAAAAAAATATTTATTTTCATGATGTCTTAGGTCAGGTGGGTGGTAGAGTCATCTAATGCCCGTATCAAGAGATGGAGATATCTAGACCGTACACTACCAACCCATCAAATACCATTTATCGGAGACTACATCCGTATTGTATGTGCAGTATCCAACAGATTTTCACCTCCACTGAGTCCCGCAAGCAGCATAGAGGACGATGATGCAGAAGCTGCTAAAATGCTTTACCTATCCAAGCAAGTAAGGATTCTTTTGTTCCAAAGATATATTAGTGTTTATTTTTGTCACAGTAAATTTCAAAACCTGCAAATTTTACATCTAATGTTTAATATTTATTTACTCTAACTGTTTCAAAAATGTGTTAAGTGTTATTGAAATTGATTTTAAATCAGGTAAATCACTTGAAAGCTTTTATTGAGGAGAAAGGACTGCAAAGAAAAACTGCTGTATGGAAAGCGACCTCTGAAGTGAATTTGGGTTCATTTCCTATACTCGATGATGAAGAACTCAGAAATCTGACTTGTGGTACTTACCAATTAAAATTATCCTCCAGTTACATGCAAGAGCACATAGATGGTGAAAGCGACATTTATTTCCATGAAGAGGACAATACTTTGCTAAGAGCCAAGATCCAAAGTAGGCACACGTCTTCTAAGAAGTACCAACTCTGGATACGTTACAGTGAAAGTACAGTGGAATCTTGGTAATGCACATGTAGAGCAGGCGCTAGAGTAGTTGGGATGTGCTCGCATATTGCATCAGTAATATGGTATCTAAGTGGTGCACGATACAGAGAAAAATCATTTGGAGTGAGGGATTGGAGTAGAAATGTCTTGGATGCAGCAGATATTCCCCCAATCATCGACGAATCAGACAGCGAGAGTGGAGAAAGTTTGCCGGAAGAGTGATTCTTATGCCTCGCCTTAAAAATGGTGTTTGTCATGACCATCTTCCGTCCCTCCATCCTTCCATCTTTCTAAGAACTACCGGGTATTCAAATGCATCAACATTGTTTGACCAGAAATTTTCCTTTGATTGTGGAATTTTGTGTTTAACTCATTTTTAAAGAAAACTATTCGTGATATTATAATGGAAATTCGTTGTTTCAAGCATAATTATTAGAGCTGTTTGATTTTGGATGTTATTTTTTCTCTTAAGTATAAAAAGATTTTAAAAATTGTGGTTAATAATGTGATTTTATAGGTATATGAAATCTCAAGGGGACTTTTTTTGATCATATTTTGTATACATGTACTTATATAAAGTTAAAGGATATACATACTTATGTAATAGGATTATATGTTGATAAAAAATATCCAGACATTAATTGAAATAGCTAAAATTGAACTGCATCTTTGTCATAAAACTGCTGATAAATAGTATTACAGGGAGATCTCTTTCCATTCTAAGAATCAAAAGTTTTTAAATTTCATGTGAGCTTTAAATATTGTTACCATGTTTACAAATTGTTGCCAGCTTACTCCTTGTCATGTATTGTCTCCTGCATATGTTATAATAAGTTGGATGCTGTGGGAAACTCAACATGTAAATAACTGCTATGTGCATTGAAAATACTAAGAAACAGTATTGTTATTATGATTATTAAATGTATATAATATCATGAATACTAAGAAAAGATATTGTTTGTCTGTTATGCATTATCATAAATGCTCAGTTGTGGTATTAATTAATATATGCATAAAATAAATACCAAGTCATGCTAATTTTTTTTATATAAACAGACACATTTGAAAACATGCTTATTCTGAAAAAAAAATCTTATGCGAAATACATATACGCTAAATATATGTTGACTTTTGAAGATAAAAAAATATTGAGATAGAAATTCAAATATATTAGTAATTTCACGACAAAATTAGATTACTGTCTAAGTAAAGAGTCTAGTCTTTATCATATATAAAAACATTTGGGAATTAATTCTCAAAAGTACACGGAGTTAGAAAAGAATATTTATCCCATCTTTAAGAGCTTCTTTTTAAAAAACGTCATGATAAAATTGATTTTATTCCAATAATGTACAATACATAATTACTATCTTGTATATATAATAATATATAGGTAAAATTAAAATAAAAAAGGCAACACAGATTAAAACGTAAGCGCTTTCATTACATCTTCAGACGTTTTACAAATGCATTCTTTATCCTGACTGCAATGTCTTACAAAACTATTGATACTTTAAAAATCATTATCTATAATTGAATCTGACAGCAAGCAATTAAATGCTTGCAGTTTGTTCACACCTTTGAAACCAAATCCGACATGTGTTTATACTCTTAGCCGGAGAACATCGAAAGGTTACACTCTGTGTGAAAGTTTCATCAGAAATCAAATTAAATTATACTCTTAGCCGGAGAACATCGAAAGGTTAATTTTAATTTTACCTATATAAAAACCGGACACTGTGAAATTTTCAAATTTGGATAATAATATATATATATACATGTATATCAAAATTTTTAAAAGCCAAAAAGAGCACTTGCACTTGTTTCCTATATGAGGCACTCCTTATACCCTGTATATGAAACAAGTGGCTGTGAAATAACGTCATGACACGTCATGACGTTAAGAAGCATATAGCTGTAACGTCATGACGTAGCATTAATTAAAAAAACAATACCAACTTTAAACGACTGTAAAAAGAAAACTAAAAAAGATATTGTTATAAAATAAATTGTTTTATGATCTGCTAATCTTAACACATTATTAAGTAAAGTTTTATTCATTTTGGTAACAGGGCGTATTTTGGTACTTTGTGAACTAAGTTCTTTGATAGATTAAAGATGTTTAAAGAGATTGTATTGCAAAAAAGTTTATGTTTATTGTAAAAATCGAGACTTTTTCTCCCCCAAAGTTAGCGTATTCTGTGCCTTGACCTCCATGCTTGATACAAGTAGATTTTTTATTCATAATTTAATAAAACGGATGAATAAACAAACAATTGCTTGTTTAAAGTTGAACTACATATAATTCCCTTCCCCGGTATTAAAAATCTTGTGTAATTAGCATGTTATTTATTATTATATCCCCCGCTTGAAAAGCGGGAGGGTATATAGTAATCGTTAATTCCGTCCGTCTGTACGTCTGTCCGTCCGTCCGTCCGTCTGTCCGTCCGTCTGTTACGCTTTGGGGTACCCATCTCTTATCCGCAACTCCTCTCATACCACTGAATGAAACATGATGAAACTTTCACAGAATCTTTATTACATATTGCCATTGTGCACCTCCTATTTTGCTTTTTGATCCGACACATATTTTGGGTTTCCTGGGCACAGCAAAACGTGGACTTTTTCACCAGTAATAACCATATGGGAGGCGGGGGGTATCATTTAGTGAGCTCATTGCTCACAGTACCTCTAGTTTTTCGACACTTTCTTTGTGCATGTTCGAATTTCCTCTGTCCTGTAAACAAACTTTTGTGCCTCAGAAATGACAAAAATAAAGACGAAAACATTTTTATTATTTTTTTTTAATTGAAAACAGAGGTGTAGACAATTCATTTTTGTATGTTTATGATTTTTAAAAAATATATTTATTTTTTAAATAAGAAGAGTTATCGTTCCTCTGCTTTCGAGCGTTGCATTTAGGGAAGGAAAACCCTCGTTTGAGGGTATACCCTCGTTTGAGGGTTCGACTAGACTGGTTTAAGGAACCCTCTTTACACTGTACACTAAAGAGTTCTAATTCTATTGAACAACGCCACAGTTAAGGAACCCTCTCTACACTGCACACTAAAGAGTTCTGATACATTGGTATGGCCTTAAAAAAAAAAGTTTGTTTCCTGTAACCCGACCGACCCATTCAAATTACCCCCGGGTGGATTTTTTTTCTGACAAATGGCAAAACTTCATTTGATCAATCAGCTGATTCCATTTATTAAAAA